CATAATCCATAAACAAATACAAGAAATAATCGAAATCTTAACATGCAAGGACAATCGAAAGATCGGGTTAATAATTAGAACTGTGGTAGAAGAGCCTTTGTAGTATTAACACGGGAATATAGTTAATCTCTTAGGTAGTCATTATTGAGATTTGGGCTTAATGTTGTGTTCTAGAATTAATTGCGTAGGAATACAGTAATTGAATCTAGAGTACTAGGGTTTTACCTATATAAGTCCAAAATAAGGGGTGTCTAACACATTTCCCCTATTTAAAATTAGGATTGGGACTGAATTGGTTTTTACCCAACAATCAATCCATTTAATGGGTCGGTTAATGATTTTTAATATTATCAAAATTTGTTTGACCGATAATTATCGGTCAACCAACTATATTAATATTTTTTTTTCAAAAAAATATAAAATAATTTATGTAATTTTTTTAAGTGGCTATGGAATTTAAAAAAATATATCGAGAAGAATAAAAAAAATCATAAATCTTCTACCAGAAAATAAGTATTTTCATGTTTGGAATTAGTTTGAATTTCATAATTATATTTTTTGTCGAATTGCTATTAACTATTTTGAACTGATAAGTAATAACAACAAGTGGCACTAGGCAGAATGTGCATAGTTTTACACTTTAAAAAAAAAAAAAAAACTAGGTGCCGAGATTTATCCATCAACTCACTAAGTTCGGAACCAAATATTCAGTTGTAAACCATCAACCGACCTACAAAGGTTGGGTCGGCAATGATTTTCAAATTTGAGAAAAATTGGTTTTAATCGGATCGGTTGGTTTTTTGGCCAGTATTCAACCGACCCAACCCTATTTAAATTATTTTTGAAAATCGAAAGCATCAACACGGTGCAATGTGAATGATTATTATCTTATGAGGGTGCACAATACTATTACATTTTTCCAAGAGTGCAAAGAGCTATTAATAATATTTTTCAAGCGTGTGCCAGGTGGAGCTTACTTCACCAACTTAATTCCCGCCAAAATGCAATATTCTATGGAACTGAGTAGACACGGCTACGGGGCGGGTTGGGTCCGGGTCCGGGTCCGACTTTTAGGGGACCCGAAACCGACCCGTGGGGAGGCGGGTCCGGGTTCGGGGCGGGTCCAACCGGGTCCATTCGGATTCGGGCCAGGTCTGGGTTGGGTCCGGGTCCAAACCGGTTTTTCAATTCTTTTTTCCTTTTTTTTAAAAGAAAGAAAAAAAAATTGAATTGAAACTTGAAAAAAATTAGATTAACTTTAAATTCAAAATTAAAAAAAAAAAAAAAGAAGAAGAAGGAGAATTTAAACACTAAACAATTTTAGAAAATAAAAATAAACGATTAAAACCTTGAGACATTAACTATAAATGAAATCAAATTTGTGAAGATTGGATTATGGGTATTTATAAGTGAAAATAATAATTGAGCAATTTTTCAAAAAAGAAAAAAAATCAAAATTCAATCTATATTTAAATTAAATCGTAATTTTTTATATTTTTCAAAATTAAATATACATATGCATTTGTTATTAGTCGAGATTTTTGATATTAAAAATTTATAAAATATTAGTTATACAATTATTATTATCATTTTACAATATTATTTATATTTATATAGTTATAGTTAGGATTAATATAACAAGGAATATATATAACATAAACAAAAGGTGTAAAATAATTATAATAAATAATGTTAAATAGATTATTAAGTATCATATTCATTATTATTAAATAATTTTAGTTAAATATTTAACAAATATAATATAATAAAAAAATTAAAAAAATAAATAAATTGAAAGGACTTGAGCTTAATCCATTTAAATCTTACGATTCGATATTAATATATGAATAAAATGTAAATGTAAAAAAAAGATTAAATCATATGATCTACGATTTAATTCTTCCGATTTTTACAAATTAAACAAATTATTAAAAGAGAAATCACATCATAATATTTTGATTATACTCGTCATATATAGTTTTATTTTTAAAGTAACAAATTAATTAGAATGAGATATAATCTATTTTTGTTAAAATAAACATCATCTATATTTTTAAATAATTATCTTATGATAAAATAATCAATAATTTTAATAAGTTCTTGTCAACAATTGAGGTTAATCGATTTCAATTAATTCAAATGAGTTATAATCTATTTTTTTAAATAAACATCTTATTTTATTTTTCATTCGATTTTTTCACACTATCGATTTTAATAACATAAGTGAGTTTGTATTAAGTCAACGCGTTTGTTTATATATTGAATTGATTCAATACTTTATATTTTTCAATAGTGGAGATTATATCGATATAGTAATGAATAATAGATGTTTTGAAGTATTGAACTGTGATTCTATATATATTTTTTAAAAGTTTCTTATATTGCTTTTATTAACAATTTAATTACATTATTGAATAATAATAATATGAAAATTAATAATTAATTTAATATATTTATTATTTTGCACCTCGTTTTATATTATAATATTTATTTATTCTCTATGTTAATCAAATATGTTGGTTGGTCCAGTTGTAAGAATCGACAATTCTTTCAGTTTCTCGACACATGTGCAAGTTGTGGACAAAAAAAAGGGGAAAATTCGGGTTGACCCGACGGGTCCTCGGGTCCCCTCGCCGGGTAGACCCGTCGGGTCTCGGGACCAAATAATCGGGACACGAAACCGACCCATACTTGGTCGGGTCATGGTCAACGGGGCGGTATCCGGGTCGGGTCCGGGTCAAACCCGGCCCGTGGCCGTGTCTAGAACTGAGCCTCAGAATTTTGTATACAAGTTTTGAATTTGAATTTAGAAATGGGTTTTTTGCAAGAACCACCCTTGTGTAGGGGTGTAAATGAGACGAGCCGGCTCGCGAGCTTCCGAAACTTGCTCGAAAAAAGCTCGTACTCGAACTCGAAAAATCGAGCTCGAGCTCGAGTTCACGAGCCCGAGCTTTTCGACGAGTCGAGCTTGAGGCTTCATTTCAGTTGTTCGACAGCTCGCGAGCAAGCTCGCGAGCTTTACCTTTTCTCTATACTTTTTATACATAGAATAATATATAATAATGAATATTATTAATAATAAATAAAAAAAGAATAATATTACTTTTTTAATTGAAAAAATAAATTTGATGGATGGATTTTTGGTTGTGCCGAGCTCGAGCTCGGGCTCGTTTCGTATATGAGCTCGAGCTCGAGAGCTCAAGCTCGAGCTAAAACTTATAGGCTCCTCGAGCTCGAGCTCGAGGTCGAGCTCGAGCTCGAGCTCACGAAATAAGGCGAGCTGGGCTCGTTTACACCCCTACCCTTGTGTAATCTCTAATTGTTAAAAAAGTCCCCATGTTATAAATATTAGCAAGAACCCCCCTATGAAATTTAGTTAAAGCTGATAAAGTCCCTAACAGCTTATCGTGCATCCCACGCGCGGATTGTGAGACTGGGTTGTACTTTTTCACCGACAAAGATTTAAATACCCTTTTAGAAATATAAAAAAATATAGATCCACCCCCAAAATTTCTATAAGCCCAAAATAAAATTTTCCAAATTATCACTTCAGTCCCTCATATTTTATGAAAAGCCCTCTTCTTCACTACACCTGAAACCACCACCATAATATCAAACCCCAGCTCTCCTATGACCCATCACCTCCGCTACGCCGCCCCCTTACCACTTCTCCTGCCGTCTAGGACTGCCCCTTCCACTGTATCTCCGTTCACCTCACCATAACTCTCACCAGCACCCTATCATCACCCGCAAATGCCACCACAAGAAAACCAACATCCCTCTGGTGCTTCCTTCACAACACTTGAGGATCCAAATTACCCATAGATAGACACAAATCCAAAAAAATCGAAGCAAAACTCGCCTCAATAATCCTCCAGCAAAGGGATTTGGAGATATTTAAATTGGTCTTTTTAATTTTTATTTTTTGCCAACTTTTCCATCAAGAGAAATCGAAATCGACGCCGTCACGACGTGATACCATTAGTGTAGTCGTGCCAACGCATTGCTGAATGGAGGAAGAATTGGGGTAGGTTGGATTGGGGGATGGATGTGGTGGTGGTGCGACGGCAGATGTCAGGTAAAGAATTTGTTGGGAGGGGGGCGTGGGATTGCTTATAATTTCTTTTTAATTTATATTACTTACAATTTTTTATGTTTGTTAAATGAAATATTATTAAAGAATTACTAGGGGCAGTTTCGTCATTTCATTGAAGTCAACATCAAAATTTGATGAAAGTGGCTTTGTCATCAAATATATTATCAAATATATTATAGAGAATATTTGCTAATTATTTTAACACAGTGTGTTTTATGACAATTCAAAATTACAAAGAGGGATCTATGCTATTAACTCATTTAAAAATACTATAACAATTCGAAATTACAAAGAGGGATCTATGCTATTAACTCGTTTAAAAATACTTGATGAAGAAAAAGAAAATTAAAATTAAAATTAAAATATTGAAATGAAATAGACTCATTCTCTGATTTTCAACCCGTGCATATCTGGTTTCACACTTGGGATACATTTTCTTCATCTTTGATTTTTCTTCATAATATTTGGTAGCAGACAGAGAAAATGGTGGTTAGCGAAATATATTTCCACAGAGATGAAATCTGGTTCGAAAATGGCGCATTTCTTCTTCTTCTTCTTCACTCAATTCCTCTCTCTACTACTTCTTCTTTCAATCACGCCATGGAGATTCTGTGTTGGAATAGATACACTTTTTCCAGATCAAACGATTGCAGTTGGGCAAACTTTGATTTCCCAAACCCTAATTTTCGAGCTCGGATTTTTCTCCCCTGGAAAATCCAGAAATTATTTCTTAGGGATTTGGTATAAAAGTGTAAGATCCCAGCTATTTTTGGGTATTTTTATGGTTTAATTATAATATAAAAGTAGAAATTAAATTGATAATTGATATAGAAATTGGGGGAAGAAATAAGAGAGGGAGAAAACTTGGGGAAGAAGAAGAATACAGAGATGAGAGGGAGATTCTGAAAATTGGCTTAATGCCTTTCATTCAACTCGTCCAACCCTTATAACAAAAATCTCAAATAATAATTAAAATCTGAAAATAACAATTAAGATATTTAATTAATTTCTTCCAATCTCCAATTGCACTTGGGCCCGACTCATTAATAAATTTCGGCCCACTTGCTTTCGGCCCAGCTGCAAAACTCAATCCCACTTCACTTCCAAAATTATTGCCGTTCTTCAACTTACCACCGTCGTCACCGCTGTTGCCGCCGCCGTTACCGTCATGGGTCATGACATTACCCCCCGCTGAAGACGATCCTTGTCCCCAAGGATCATAACCTAGGAAACAAATCAACAATGTACAGTGATCGGCCCATCTAGCAAAAGTGGGACCGGAATTTTTCGACTGACTCAGAAGTTGAGTGACATCCGCATTACATCGTTTTATCATGTGTTTGTCCAGAATTTTGAGAGGATAAATTTGTAAGTGATGATCTTCATCCTTACCAATGACTTCGTAGATACCAAAATATCGATAGTAAACTCCTGATTCATGCAAAGTGCTTCGATGTTCTGTTGAAATCGTGAAAGTATATGGTAAACTTCCTTACCCACCTCAAAAACTCGACATGCTTTCTTCTTTACTGTAAACCACTCCATAAACATTGGAGCTCGATGTGTATTCTCTTGAATTACTTCAAGTGCCGATGTTCTGTCGTTGATAAATGACCATGCTTCTTCGTTAGTACTGCCAAAATAAGGGCCTAATGATAGGAGTGCTAAAGTGTACTCGTAAAGCGCTTCTTCCAAGCTCGGTCTGAGTTGAATTTCCACCCACCCATCTGGAGATGATTCATAACGGACCATACTCAGTACAAATTCGGACCGGACCTGTTGAATTCTAACTTGATCCCCATAGATTGTCTTCAATAATTTCCCCGAATTTTCCCAACCTAAATCTGCCAAGGAATTAGGCAAATGATTTGGTAAATTACGCAGTACAATATTTGCTTCCAGTGTCTTCACAACCCCACAGAATTTGCCCATTGCAAAACCGCAATTGCTCGATTCCGCTTTTCTAACACATAAGAAAATTAGAGAACTCAAGAACATGGATTTCACCCCTGCCAACACTAAGAAATAACGCGGTGGAGGTTCAGGTGATGGACGAGGTCTTTTCGGTAAGACCATCAACGTAGCACGCTTCAACACATTGAACCTGGAACAAGCCTGCAATAAAATTACTGAACCAACATTGACAGTTGCAGATCTGAAATCCTCTTCGATGCGATCATTTCGCATCCTTAATACCTCAGGCTTAAACCGAACCGAAACTAAAACACCTTCGAGTAATTCTACTTTCCAACCGTGAGAATCACGTAGCACTTCGACTGAGCAACCCCTCGTTGTACCATTTCCAACCGCAATTTCCATAAATTCCTTTTCAGCTTCACTTACTATTAGTCCATTTTCCATCTCCGTTTTATCACTCACAAAACTATTCATGAAATAAGTTTCATCACAAACACTAGCATTTAACAGTAGCAAATGAGGCTTTCTTTCCTCAAACTCATCTATGTTCTGCTCAAGTGAGTATTCTGTGTTGAGGTGGTTGATTTCAGCAAGAATCTTCTTGCGCTCGATTAGATTTTCAAATCTAGCCAACACAAGATTCACAAAAGAATCCCAAGTTAAATCTCTACCCTATTCTAATATATGCCCGTACCAAGTGGCAACCCTTCCCTCAAAATGACATGATGCCAAATAAATTTTTTGTTGGTCTGACATTTTAGGAACCAACCGAAAGTAGCCTGTCCAATTTAACACCCAACTCCTAGGATTTGTTCCATCAAACGTGGAAAACTCATTTCTAGAGGTAGGTTTAGAATCGACCTTGAATGGTTCAGAATTATTACATGCTTCAAGTACCGACAAATCAGAGTCATAGTAAGTCCCTTCTTCATTAGCTTTGTCCACCTTCCCATCAATAAGCATCTTCCTCGACAGTTGGACAATACTCTTCGATTGATAAATAGCAAATAGTGGAGGCGGTTCAGGTGACGGGCGAAATATTTTTGGCAAGATAACCAATGTAGCATGCCTCCATATATTTGATCCGACGTATACTATCCGGCCGGTTACAAACTTCCTCTTGGGCATTTCAACAAATACCTTCGATCTAGGTACTTGAACCACATTTTCTTCACAGGATAACTCAAGTAATTTGAAGGTTTCATATGGCACATTGAAGTTCCTCATGAAATTCCCAGACCTTTCAGAAGTTCTATCTGAATCATCAACCTCTTTTATATTAGGAAACTCCACTATATTTTCAATCTCATGCTCCACAGACAACGACTCATCAAACAACAATACTTCCCGATTTTCAGTAATATCTTCACTATCAACCGACTCCATCATGCATACCTCATCTTCAATCATATCTTCTTCTTTAGCTAATTCTAACATAGGATTTTCTATTTCCTTTTCCACTTCTACTCTTTCAGACAATTCATCAAACACAATCAACTCTTTCATTTTAGGGGATTCATTTTTTTGACTTGATATAAACCCTTCAATGTCGTTTAAAATTAGAGGTTCAGAGGAGTTTCTTACCGAATCTTCAAGGAGAGGGTAATACAGCTCAAACTTCTCTACCAATTTAGCCATTTGAATATGCAACTCTTCACAAGTTTTCTGAAATTTCTTTTGATTTTCTGCCATTTGTTTGGTCATAGATTCAATATAATCTTTATGTGCCTCAACTGTCACTCTCGCAGCCATGCTCCCAGGTTTGAAAATCAAAACCTTGCTCTGAGTACCAAATGTAAGATCCCAGCTATTTTTGGGTATTTTTATGGTTTAATTATAATATAAAAGTAGAAATTAAATTGATAATTGATATAGAAATTGGGGGAAGAAATAAGAGAGGGAGAAAACTTGGGGAAGAAGAAGAATACAGAGATGAGAGGGAGATTCTGAAAATTGGCTTAATGCCTTTCATTCAACTCGTCCAACCCTTATAACAAAAATCTCAAATAATAATTAAAATCTGAAAATAACAATTAAGATATTTAATTAATTTCTTCCAATCTCCAATTGCACTTGGGCCCGACTCATTAATAAATTTCGGTCCACTTGCTTTCGGCCCAGCTGCAAAACTCAATCCCACTTCACTTCCAAAATTATTGCCGTTCTTCAACTTACCACCGTCGTCACCGCTGTTGCCGCCGCCGTTACCGTCATGGGTCATGACAAAAAGCACACCGGATATCGTGGTCTGGGTTGCGAATCGCAACACCCCTATAACAGAGCCACAAGGAGTGGTCTTAACCGTAGTTGGTAATCAAACCCTAGTTATACGCAGGGGCGAAATTGTAATTTGGTCGTCGGAGGATTCTTCATCGGCGGCATCAACTCCGCCGGCGTTACAGCTCTTAGACACTGGAAATTTGGTAATTATCGACATGGCAAGTGGAATTTGGATATGGCAGAGCTTCGATTACCCGACTGACACGTGGCTGCCAGGTATGAAGATGGTGAATGACGTGTTAGCTGGTTTGGACAAGTACTTGACATCATGGAGAAATCGGGATGATCCTTCCCCTGGAGATTTTGCTTTCAGGATCGAAAATGAGGGATTGTGCGACATGGTTTTGCTTCACAGGGGCACGAAGAAAAAGTTCCGAACAGGAAAATGGAACGGGATCAACTTCGATGGCCTTCTGCCGTTTCCGAATAGCTCGGGATTACCCATAATGGCTTTCAAGGAAGACAGGTTGATATCTGTACTAGCATACGCCGGCTGCTCAATTAACTACAGATTAACACTGGAGTCATCCGGTGTAATCAAGCGCCATACTCTAAATGCAAGAACGGACAAGTGGGATTCTATACGTGTAAATCCACGAGATTCGTGCGATGAATACGGTACGTGTAGTCCTAATGCTATCTGCAAATTCGAGAAACCGGTAATATGCGAGTGTTTCAAGGGGTTCGCACCGAAATTTCAAAAAGATTGGGACAATCAAGATTGGTCGGGTGGATGCACTAGAATTAGGGAACTGAATTGCGAGGGAGGGGACGGGTTTCTCGAGGTTGAACGGGCGAAATATCCTCATATGTTGGATTATTGGTTGAATAGTAGCATGAGCCTTAGTGAATGTCGAGCTCGGTGCTTACTAAACTGTAACTGCACTGCGTATGCTAATCCAATCATAACTAATGAAGGGTATGGATGCTTGATGTGGTTTGGGGATCTCGTTGATATAAGAGAAAATCTTGCTGCAGATATTAGGCAAATCGTCTACATTCGGTTACCAGCTTCGGAAATAGGTAAGTATTGATATTCTCTTTCTATCTACGAGTATTCACAAGTCTTGATTATTATTATTAGTTTGTGTGTTCGTTTTGTAGAGGCTAGCACGAATTTGGAGGAGAAGGAGAAGAAAATCTCTGCAAAGATAATAGTAATATCAATTGTGGCTGGAGTTCTTGTCTCGGGCTTTATCAATGGAGGTATACTTTTGATGGCAAGACGAAAAAGACAAGGTAACAAAACTTTCGTACTTTTGCCGGACAAAAAATAATCTTGAATTCTTGTTATAAACATGCATTTGGTGTCGAGCATGAGACATTTTTTTTCCTCATTGCAACAGCAAAAAAGAACGATGACGATGATCTAGAATTGCCTATATTCAAGTTGGTAACTATTGTGGCTGCAACGAACAACTTCTCCATAGAAAATATAATTGGAGAAGGAGGATTTGGTCCTGTTTACAAGGTAAGGTCGTACATCGGAAAAGCTAATTATATTAAAATTCAAAAGGTTGTCAAGATCTTCAAGTCAGGGTCTCGAAGAGTTCAAAAACGAAGTTACGTCGATTGCCAAACTTCAGCATAGAAATCTTGTCAGACTTTTGGGATGTTGCATTGAAGGAGAGGAAAGAATGCTAATCTACGAATACCTACCGAATAAAAGTCTTGACTATTTTGTTTTCAGTACATGCTAAGATACTCTCGTTTAGTTGTTTTTTGTTCATAAATCAAACCTGAAAGATTTTTAAATCTCACAAGGTATTCAATCACGTGCAGATCAAAATCGAATGAAAATTTTGACATGGCCTAAGCGCTTTGACATTATCATGGGAATCGCAAGAGGACTGCTTTACCTCCACCAGGATTCAAGATTAAAGATCATCCATAGGGATCTCAAAACGAGCAATATTTTACTAGATGGAAATCTAAATCCAAAAATTGCAGACTTCGGCCTAGCAAGAGCTTTTGTAAAAGACCAATCGATTGTTAGAACAAAACGAGTTGTCGGTACATAGTAAGAGCTCTTTTATCCCAACAAAAACATATGATTATTATTATTTTGAAAAAAAAAAACGACCCTTGTGACTGAAGCATTCATGCAGTGGTTATATGGCTCCAGAATACGCAATCGATGGGAAATTCTCGGTGAAGTCTGATGTATTCAGCTTAGGAGTTGTATTGTTAGAGATAGTGAGTGGGAAAAAGAATAGAGGTTTCAACAACCATGACAACTGTCATACTCTTTTGGGACACGTAATACCTTTTTCCGAGCTACAAATACTAAAAAACGTAATTCTATTTTAGAGACAAATTAAGTAGCTTGATGTGTATTAATCTTGACAGGCATGGTTGCTATGGAAAGACGACAAGACTCTGGAGCTGATGGATGAATGTTTAAACGAAACATTCGTCGAATCTGAACTGAAAAGATGCGTACAAGTCGGGCTATTGTGCGTTCAGAAATTTGCAGATGATAGGCCGGTTATGTCGTCTGTGCTTTTCATGTTGGGAACCGATGGAGCTATTCTGCCAGAACCGAAAGAGCCTGCGTTTTTTTACGAGAGGAGTTTGAACCCTATTACAAGTGTTTCATCGCCAAGTATGAAATCGGATAATAACACAATGACTATTACCGATTTGGAGGCGAGATAAGGAAGTTTCAGACATACAATGTGTGGTTGAGTGATACCACTCCCATTCTTGATTATGAGAGGTTCCTGGTTCAATCCCATTGTGTGCAAGTATGTGTCTTGTAAGGACATTTGTTAACACAATTTAAACAAAAAAATGTATATTACAGAATAGAAATATAGAAAGCATAAAATGAAGTTAGAGTAGGGGCGGAAATCGGAATGGAATTTCTGAATTCCGCCAGTTCCGATTCGAAAATATCCGAATTTGGAACTCTATTTTTCATTCCGATTTCTGAAGTTCCGACTTTTCCGAATTTATTTGGAATGGGATCGGAATTGTATATAAAATTAATGGAAAGTTGGATTTCCAATCCAATTTTAGTTCCGAATATCTCGATTATTTATCGAAATATATAATATAATTTTATGATATATTTTATAATTCCATTATAGAACTTATGTTATACTTTTTACGAAAAATATATCTACCGAAGGGCAATCAGAAACTCTGTTGCATTTTTTCTTATGATAAATTTTGCCTTTCAATTTGTTGTTCCTACATCTTGTTATTATTTCTGTCGAATTCTCCTTTAGAATTTCTTGCATTTTCCTGCAAAATTTCGAAAAAGATAGAAAAATATTATGAAACTTCTCATCATATCCGAATTTGGAACAAGAGATTATAAACAAATGTAATTTCCAAAATTTCCGAAATCCGCCGATTCCGATGCATACCGAAACTCATAATGAACTTTTGCATTCCGGTTTTTTTAAGGAAAATTGGAACCCATTTTTTACTTTAAAAAAAATAGATTTTTTTCGAAAAAGCCATTAACGATCATTCCGTCCAATTTCCACCGCCAAGTTCGAGAAACTAAAGCCACTCATTCACGAATGTGCCAAGTGGCATTTAACAGATATAATAGATAGAACATATATAATTACTATATAACACAATATATTGTTTGGGGTATTTATATCTATTTACTTATTATTGTATTTAACTTATATTACTTTTTTTGGTCAATGAACCTATAGCTATAATCATCAAATAAATTGAACTCGTACCTATATAAGTTGGGGCATGAGGGGTCTAGGTAATTTCGCCTTTTAAAAATTGATGGCTGTGTTTGGTAAGCTTTTGGGCTTCCATTTCCATTTTATTTTGGGGAAAGATGTTTTGGGGGAAGAATTTGAAAATTAAATAAAGTTTGTTTGTGTTTTGAGAGGAGACAATTTGTACTGTAGCAAGTCAAATCATGTCTGAAAGGTGTTGGGAAAAGGTATTTTGGAAGAAGAATTTAAAAGATAAAGTGATTTGATTTTGTATTTTAGTGAAGACAATTTTCACTGTAGCGGTCAAATCATGTTTGTTGGAGAGAGAAATATTTGAATTTGTTTTGGGGAAAGTTTTTGAAAATAGTGTGGAAAGATAATTTTTATTTTGGGGAAAGTGTGAAAAGAATTTGGAAAGCTTAACAAACATAACCGATATTTGTCATAAATCCAATTCATCCAAAATACCTTATATGCCCCAAATAATTATTCCAATAAATAAAAAAAATATGCTGATAAATGCAAACCCCCCTAATTAATAGCACATAAAAATCCTCCCAAACATTATGCCCCCAAATCATGCTCCAAATCCGCTCGAAAATTACCGTTTACCCACTGTTTACACCAAAGCCCACCCAACAATGGATGAATTGTTCTAGGAAGAAGAAAATCGAAGACAGAGCCTGACATGATGAAAACCACTCTGCATGAATAGTTATATAAACATGGAAACCACTCTGTATAAACAGCTATATAAAACATGAAAACCACTCTCTATAACAGCTATATGAACATGAAAACCACTATGTATAACAGCTATATAAACATGAAAACTACTCTGTATATACAGCTATGTAAACATGAAAACCACTCTGTATAACAGCTAATGTTAACATAAAAACCACTCTGTATAACAGCTATGTAACCATGAAAACTACTCTATATCATTACAAAGTCACTTTCTTGCTCGATAAACAACAAAATAACTTTCAAGTAAAAGTAAAAACAAGTATGAAAAAACCCATAATTATAATTCTACAAAGAATTGTATATCTCTTCAAGATTTTTTTTTGCGGTAGTTGATCTTGTAGACGCATAAAATTAATTAATTGGTTAATTAAATTAGCCAATTAAATTGTATCTAAATTCAATTATATATTGTCTTGCAAGACAAGTCATAAAGATAAATATCAATTAATTATTGGCCAATAGGATTGTTTCTTCTCTTTCAAGTTACAAGAGATAAATATCAATTTAATAGAGGCCAATCAAATCGCGCCACGTCATCAAGAAGACTTTGTGTAGGACTCTTATTCTACCACTATAAATAAGGACCCTCTCTACACAATTGAAAACACAACTCAAGAAGAAGAAAAACCGTAGGAGAAAATTATCTCTACAATATTCAAGTCGTCATCATCAAATTCAAGTCGTTCTTCATAAAATTCAAGGCCTCCAAGATCTTCATCAAATTGAGGGCGTTCTTCAACAAATCAAGATCGAAAGAAGATTGAAGGGCCAAACCCATTAAGAACTCCAAGATCTTCAAGTTAAAGCTCGTCAAAGTTCAGCGTTCGATCCGAGATTCAAGTCGCAAGACCCTCGGAAAACGTTATTCAAGTTCAAAATCAAATCCGGAGAAGATCAAGTCAACCCCGACTCCGAAATTCAAAGTCAACATATATTGTTCTTGAGAGAAGAATTAGAGGATTAAATTAGAGTTTGTAACCCGCTATATTTATTTTTAATTCAATCAAATTATCTTTGTGCAAGTTTTTCTTGTTTGTTTAAATCGCAGATTTGGCACGCCCAGTGGGACATCTCTACCTCTCATCTCTTCTCTCTCTCGAAGATCCTCGAAGTGTTGCACTGACTGCTCTACGTTTGCAATGAAGACATCTACTTCAGATTCATCAAGTCTGGGCGTAGTTACAAGGAGTATGGCTTGTTAGAGTAGGTGACCAACAAGCCAACATGTGGCTGTGGTCTTTCGTATTTATTATTGTAATAAACGAACTTTTATTCGTATTAATGATAAAAGACCTTGGCATTCTATATCTTTGTCCCTTTGTCACAAGCATAGATATAGTCCTTACAGTTATTACAAGTACTGGTAATTGATCGTTAGGATCGTGAGATATGTACTTAAGTATTATAACTGTTAAACGTGTTCCTAGTCGAAGGGTTACGCCACCAATGAGGATATCGGCCTTTCCCATTAAGAGACTAGCACTTAGTGTATGTGTACTGCATCTCATCAGTAAACGGTATTGTGATATCGGCATGCATAAGTGGGTGCTCGTAAGTTGACGAGTTCACTGAAATCCCTCACCCTAGAAATCTCTAAGTGGTTCCCAATAATCGAGTAGAGATATCTATGGTATAGTTGTACACCATTAGTCCTTATGACCTAGACATCACCGTGACTTCACTAGAGGACCAGCTGTATCGTGACCTGTCCTTGAGTTCCACCGAGGACCATCCCAAGGGCCAGTGTTCGTGCAGTCCGAAATCTAGTGGGAGGTCTGTGCATTGTAGTCGGGGATTCGATCGCTAGAATAGTCTTGGATGTCCTGTGTGTTCTGAAAGTTTGTAATCATTCTAAGTCTCTGGCCAGAGCTGACTAAGTGATGATTAGAGAATTCGATTCTCTAAGTCATGCACGTGACGATTACAACACTTAGAACGATCGCACCGTCATTGAACATATAAAGAGGTCTCGACGAACCAATGCCTCTAGTTCAATCGGGACATATGTATCGAAGGGACCGTACTGTACGTTAACTATATCTGAAGGTTCTTGCAGGCACTTCATTTTTATCTAGGGAATCATGACTCGTAGTTGCTAGACGCCAATCTTGATTCGTTGGGTGATTAAGGTGAAATGAGTTTCATCTTAATCGTAACTCTAAGGGGACGAGTTTTGACCACAAAGGGTTGTGGGCCCACGGCTAGCTTACACCTGAACCATCGAGGGTCACACTGCTCGTGCACATGAGATCTTTGAATAAACGGTCAAAGGTAAAATATGTTTATCTTTGCATGATTGGAAGTCAATATGATTGGGTTCAACATTCGTAATTTGGAATTATGAATGAGAATAAGAAAAGGAAAAGAATAGGCGAACATGTTAGTGGACTTTCTAAATCGGGAAGTTTCCAAATTTAGAAAGTGCACTGAATTAGGATGCGTGCCATCACTGTGGAAAGAAAGGACATTTGCGCCGCAACTGCAAGGCCTACCTAAAGCAGAAAAGTTCTGAAAAGGGTACGTATTTCATTGACGTAAATTTGTCTGTCAACTCTTCTTCTTGGGTATTCGATACGGGCTGTGGCTCACATTTGTGCAATGATTTGCAGCTAATGACAAGAAGTCGAAAGCTTAGATCCAAGAGGAGGAAGATCAAAGAATCGAAGATGCGAGAAGGCAATTCTGAAAAACTGCTCTCGGATTTTCCGCGCTGTCCAGCGAGAAAATTCTCTATAAATCAACCGATGATCGGATGGACGTGAAATTTTGACAAAAGCTTCACGACGCATAAATCTACATTATGCCAGAAGCAATTGTCCATCCAGTAAATAAGAATGGAGATATTGAAGTCGGAGCAAGGCTGTAATTTCAGATCAGCAAACAGGTTGGATCAATAGGAGTGGGAAGAGCAGCTGGCCATCTTCTCGAGTCTTCGTTCGATTGATGCTTCAAGGACAGCACGTGAATCACACGCGCCGCCGTAGCTCAGATCATCGCCGTTGCTGCCCCGGATTGCACGGATTGGTTTCCGTGGCAATCTAGCTTTGCTTAGTGCGCCTACCTCACGCTTCAAGAGTTAATGTTTCGAACCTATTATCATTCGATTCAGTTACGTTTAAATTAATATATGCATGTTCGTTTTAATAAGAAACTTGTATGATTTTATGTGTCTACATGAAATTGGTTTTATTATTGCGAGCATGATTATTTGATTTAAACGGGAGCATGCTAATTGATTTAATTTCGATTAAGTAATTAAGCATGTTGTTGTTTTAATTTCGCTGGAAGCGCAAAGGTACGCAATGTATGTTGTTTTTAATTTCGCTGGAAGCGCAAAGGTACGCAATTAATTGTTTTCAATTATCGGGCATGTGTTTATGTGTTTTAAAGTTGTTTAATTCGCATAAAATTTTTGTTGCGTACACGTGCCCGTTACCCAACATGGCTAAGAAGCCGCAAGCATCCTCCGATACTAGCTCGACGCCCCAAACCATTGAGAAAGGCTTACCACCTTTTGTCAACACAAGTGCAGACGTGGAATGTTCAAAACGAGAGATTTCACAGCCAACGATTCGTTCAACATCAAGCTACTCAGATGTGGCATCCTTCATGACAACAAACGCTACAACCATAGAAGAGCAAATTGCATGTTTTACAAAGGCCATTGAGGGACTCACAAAGCATGTTCAACAACGAGATTCTCAAATTGCCAAGTTGATCAACAAGATGGACAAAATCGATGCTAGTCTAGCTGTGGATAATTAGATAGAGGCTCAAGACGAAGTCGAGACATCCACAAAGCAACAACCAGTGAAAACAAGAAGGCTCCAGCTCAAGAACTTCAAGTTTCTCCCGAATGGCTGATTCATGTAGATCAAGTGATGATGGTGATCAGTGGAACTATCAAAAGACAAGTTGGAAGGAAGCTCGAAGTCACCATCAACCTATGTCAAGCCATACACGCAAAGGATTGATGATCTAAAGATGCCAATGGGCTATATACCTCCAATGTTTCAACAATTTGATGGCAAAGGCAATCCCAAGCAACACGTGGAACACTTTGTTGAGACTTGCAATGATGCCGGGACGTACGGAGATCACCTCGTCAAGAAATTCGTCCGATCGCTCAAAGAAAACACGTATGATTGGTACATTGGTTTGGGGACAAAATCGATAGTTGGAAGCACTTAGAAGAAGAATTTCTCAACCGCTTTTACAGCACTCGAAGAACAGTCAGCATGATTGTGCTCACAAATTCCCGCCAATGGAAGAATGAACCTGTCATCAACTACATCAATCGTTGGAGAAATTTGAGTCTTAATTGCAAGGATCGACTGCCTGAGAAATCAACTATTGAACTGTGTATCCAATGAATGCAATGGGGACTCCGATATAGCCTTCAAGGAATTCAACCTAAAAGTTTTGAAGAGTTGGCCACTCGAGCACATGATATGGAATTGAGCATAACTGCAAATGAAGTGGAAGAACCTTCATTCCAAAAGTCGTACCAGCTCAAAGAAGAACATGTTGAAGAAGAACAAGAAGATCATGAGGATGGGGGCAAATCTTTCGAAGAAACAACATCCTATGCAATATGACAAGTTAAATCAAATGAAGCACTCCTTGACACGAGTTTAAAAGGTCTACATGTCCAAATCAATTTAAATACTCCTTGACACGAGTTTAAAAGGTCTACAAGTCCAAATCAAGTGAAATACTCCTTGACACGAGTTTAAAAGGTCTACAAGTCCAAATCAAGTGAAGCACTCCTTAACACGAGTTTAAAATATCTACATGTCCAAATCAAATGAAGCACTCCTTGACACGAGTTCAAAAGGTCTGCATGTCCAAATCAAATCAAGGCTCCTTGACACGAGCATAAACTATCTACATATTCAAATCAAGTCAAGGCTCCTTGACACGAGCATAAACTATCTACATATCCAAATCAAGTCAAGGCTCCTCGATACGAGCATAAACTATCGAGAAGGTACAGATGATGCTGAAGAAGAACCGGTTGGAGCATGAAATGTAGGACCACCTCCTTGTACAACAGAACTGGACTCCGATCCGAGACCGTAAACTCTTCCTTTTATTGGCCCTCCAACTGCCTCGAGCCACGCTTTATCAATAACTTCTTTAGGAAGAGCGGATGCTATTGCCATGAATGCATCATCTTCATCTTCTTCTTCGTCTTCCTCTTGATTTTCGATTCTTGCGTCTTCATTTCCTTCGCCAACACCCTGTGTCCCAGACATGTCACTTGAATGACGACTCTTGACGATGGTTTGAAATTTAGCCTGAAACATCACAAATTTTAAGAATTAATACACATTGAATAAATATACATTTCTTTATTAAACTATATAATACATTATCAAATAAATGAAACTTGTCTAACAACGTGATCAATATTCAGAAGCAGTAACTGAAGACACAAAAAAGTATTAAAAAACAATCATAAAAAATTTCCTCCAGAACTCAATTCTTGCAGCATAACATTTTTATATTATAGTAAAGTAGATGCTTACCCAGACAGATTTTGATTTTCCATCAACCCAATCATTATTCTGTTTCGTTTTGTGAATCATCAAAAATAACTCAGAAGCAGTAGGCTCTACCCCTTTCTCTTTCACCTAAAAATAAAATAAAAAAACATATTTAATTGGTGTTGGTAAAATAAAATATAATTATAAAATATCAAAATTAACACTTACAAATTTTCTTTTATATTCTGAAACAGGAATTGATCCTCCTGTATGCAACGAGGGACCTAAACCATCATGACTTGAGTTTCTGTTATCAGAATTAATTTCCGATTTATCTTTAAACTTTTGGGTGTTCCAATAAGCCAACAACTCATTCCAATGATTCTGATTGATCCACTTCGGTATTATATTTTTCTCATGAAATTGTTTTCTCGCTTTGTTCAAACTATTGCTCAAACTTACACTTCCTTTATGTTCAAAATGTCTTCTTATTGTCGTGTGGTCTTCTGCGGGCCAATAGTACAACTTCTGCATGTATTCAATATAAATAACACATAAATAATTTTCAAATCATGACCGACAATGAATATTATATTATTTTTAAAGAAAATTCAAAGTAATGAGAAGCTCTGAAATGTAAGACATGTTTTGTGAAATATTAATTAGACAAACTAAAGTATTCAAGATTATACCACACTATAAATTACTATGTTGCACATATATATAATGTTATATTACTATGACAATTACCTTACATGCTATCATACTCAGCCTACTATCACTTCGAAAAGAAAATGCATATACAGTATGTTGAGGTACACTTAGAAAATTCACTCAAGAAAAGTGCATAAACATAAAATGCAGCTTCAACGCAACACCAGTAATTACTCAATAACTAACTGTAGAATTTTTTCAATCTAAAGTGAACATACCTCAAATTCATTAAACCAACGGTCTCTAACATAATCCGGTATCTTCTTCCACGTAGGCCATGAACCACTGAATGCTCTTTTGAATATTGCAACCAATTTTCTCGTAGCACTTGAAGGATCAAAGCTGTTAAATAAATCAAAAAGATTTATGTTAACACAATATATATCTATTAAATAAAGTGATCAAAGTTTACCTATCTCTGTCGACTTTCAATAAAATTCGTCTGGTAGCAATTCTTTCTTGTGAGATAGTCGTTTGTGAATCCCCAACTTCTCCTTGTTGTGAAGAAGGTGTTTGTGATGAACTACCACGATGTATGCGCTTGAAACCTCCTCTCGCCATTTCGGTCAACTAACAAAGAAACAAACAAAGGGATATTAAAGTATTTATGCATATCAATTTATACAATGCCATTGAAAAATAAAACACTAAATTCAAAATTAAAAAATATGGATGCAAAAAATTAGATTGTATACAAGAACCACAAGATTATATTATATATAAACAAAGGAAATAGTTCTTCGAAAAATGCAATGAATGTAGCTTAAATAAAAAGTTATGGTATGTCTCTACATAAATGAATATAATAAAAGTATAAGGAAAAAAATAAATAAAAGTTGAATTATTCTTCTTCTGTGTCATCGTCATCTTCCAAATCTTCGTCTCCTTCAGATATGTCGCTTGGAGACTCAAAATTGGACTCATCGATGTCGTCCCTATCTATATCATGATCCACAATTATGTGTTCTTCACCCTCATCCCCAACATTGTGATAACCAAGTTCATCATTTATGATTGGTTCTACTGGCATTGTCATCTCATCTTCTTGAAAAGCTGTGTCGGGTAACTCAATTGTGCTTCTAGCATTTATTTTACATACAGCTCTCCAATCAGCTTTATCCCTTCTCTTAACAGGGTATTCAGCAAAGTATACTTGTTGGGCTTGAGAAGCCAAGATGAAAGGTTCATACTTCATGAATTTTCTTTTGAAATTAATATCAACTAAACCATATTGATTATGTACTCTCCAACCTCTACCACTAGTGGGATCAAACCAATCACACTTAAAAAGTACAACCCTTGTTCTTCCAAGAGAAGGGTTAGAATAATCTAATTCAATAATATCAATAAATGTGCCATAGTAGTCACTTTCAAGCTCGGCATAACTTGTTCCTTTAATGCAAACACCACTATTCATGGTTGCTTTGTTTGAACCATATATTTTTGTGTGGAATTTATAACCATTTACGTTGTACTGCGGCCATGTATGAACTTCTCTAGAGGGACCAAAAGCTAAATCTTTCACTCGATTATCAGTGATTTCATTGCGACCATTCTTCAATTTGCACCTAAAATACAATTAATAACCATATTAAGCACCAATTATCGTAAAAACACATCAAAAGCTCCAATTAAAAGGTACAATTAAGTGTATAAATATACACTTAACATAAACCTAATCATGCTTTTCTTAATGTGAGAGTTCGACGGCTTATGTTCCCAATATGATTTCTCTGTCACAGTGTGATTGACAAGACATAGATAGAAAACTTCATAGTATAGCTTTTATCGCCTAGCAGTCCACTTTAGATTCATTTGTAACTTTTCTTCAAAAAATTCAAATTCTCTCAAACCCTATCCAAGGACCTTCAAGTTCCCGCGGATTAAACGAGCAATTCAACAACGATGTAAGGTAAAACTCGAACTCGAAATCGTTAATCCAATGTTTTATAGTAGTATATTAACAAATTTCGTCGAAAATCTATACGTTTTCAGTATTTCGATGCACTTCGAAACTTTTCGGAAAAAAATTGCATTTCGTGAAAAAAATCACGAAATTAAAGGGCTAATTTCGTGATTTTTTCCACGAAATTAGCAGGATTTTTTGTTTCTTTTACGTTTCGTGCAAAATCTTACGAAACGAAAGCTTTAATTTCGTGAGATATCGCACGAAATGTAAGCTTTTCTTTCGTAGGTACTATGCACGAAAACTATGTGTTTCGGGCATTTTGCATTAATTTCGTGGAAAGATACACAAAATTAATTCTTGTATTTCGTGAAGAAAAACACGAAATGTAAGCATTAATTTCGTGTATTTTTCCACGAAATTACTTCAAAATTGCAGTTTTTTTTTTAGATTTATTTTATTTATTATTATTATGTAGACTGACGTTAATAGTGTCTTATTTAACAGATGGCAGGAAAAGGCAAATCAAAGGAAATTATGCGAGCAGTTCGTGAAGAGGCTGACAATCAAGAGCGCGAGCGCGAGCGCATGACTATGTCTACACGACGTAGGCGAGAGGCTGAGAGAGCTGGTGAAGCCAGATCATCAGTTGCGCATCCCGATGTTGGGTCTTCTCGTGCTATGGAGGAGGAGGATGTTGTGGACCTCGTTCACGAGACTGAGGTTGTAGCTCGTGGAGGTCGTGGAGGCCGAGCACGGGGCCGTGGAGCTCGTGGTGGTCGAAGTCATACTCGAGTCAATCCGCATGTGCTAGATGATCCATTTCCCGGTGGCCCGTGGGATCCGTCTTTGATTCCGAGTATCAAGTCGCACGTAGCGACATATATTTGGAGGGGAGAAGTAAGTTAATTACTTGTTTTAATTTTAATATTATAATTTTTGTATCTTATATTAAAATATTTTTATAGTTGATTAATTAATATGTTTTTTTAAATAAATGATTGCAGGAACGTCCGGTTGGACAAGTGGAGTCCCGTATCAACTCCCTGAACAATTTCAACTACGAGAAGATAATAGCTGCCCTAGAAGACATAAATATATCCGCAGACAAGCATTTTCTGCGGATGACCGGTTTGTATCCCCTAGCCCGATGTTATTTACCGCGCATAGATGGTCCGCTGTTGTTTGCATTCGTGGAGCAGTGGCAGCCGGAGACGAACAACTTCCATATGCCGTGGCGAGAGATGACTATCACTCTCCACGATGTCGAGAGTATTCTAGGTGCCAATATGGAGGGACGGGTGGTCACGCCTAGGTACGACGAGGTCATCGAGCGGACAAACAGCGTGTATTTGTTGTCCGATGTATTAAACCTCGATTTTGAGGAGATTGACGAGTCATGGAAGCATGGGGGCCCCACATGGAGGATGATACAGAGACAGTTGTTGATGCCCTACACGCCCATGAGACGCCGAGTTCAGATATGTCTGGTGTTTCTCCTCGAATCGATTTTATTCCATGACAAGACATGTGATTGGGTGAAGCCGTGGTATATGCACGTGCTCGAGGATTCAGTGCTTGATCAGGTCTGCACGTATTCGTGGGGTTCGGCATGTTTGACCAATCTATACAGGGAGCTGGGTATATGCAGTCGAGCACAGTCGAGGAGCTTGGCGGGTTGCACCACCCTTCTTCAGGTAAATTTTAATAAATTTTTGTACTTATTTTGTTCATAATGTTTTTAAATTTTTATATTCTCTATTGTTTATTTCCCTAAATATCTTTAAATAAAATATTGCAGTGTTGGATATACGACGACGCTTAACCGACTCATACAACTCGTTGAAAAGCATCAGAATCATCCTAATCTCGTCAAGAATTTCAAGAAGCGCAACAACAGAAACCTCATCCTCGTTATACACATCCATTAACCTAAATGATTATTCATTAAAAAATCGCCACAGTTGAAATTACTGAAGTTAAAAACTCCGTAATTTGAGCGCCACAAATGTAGTTGTAATAAAAAAAGAACATCATGCTCAACCATCAAATAATAAAATATGCTCGACCATAAAATATTCACGAAGATAAGAACTCAGCAATGCAGTCAAACTAAAAAGAAGAACATTACCCAAATAATCAAATATGCTCCACCATCAAGTATGCACAAATAACTGAGCTTGTAAACAATGAGTACACCATGTTAGAGTAGGTGACCAACAAGCCAACATGTGGCTGTGGTCTTTCGTATTTATTATTGTAATAAACGAACATTTATTCGTATTAATGATAAAACACCTTGGCATTCTATATCTTTGTCCCTTTGTCACAAGCATAGATGTAGTCCTTACAGTTATTACAAGTACTAGTAATTGATCGTTAGGATCGTGAGATATTTACTCAAGTATTATAACTGTTAAACGTGTTCCTAGCTAGTCAAAGGGTTACGCCACTAATGAGGATATCGGCCTTTTCCATTAAGACTAGCACTTAGTGTATATGTACTGCATCTCATCAGTAAACGGTATTGTGATATCGGCATGCATAAGTGGGTGCTCGTAAGTTGACGAGTTCACTGAACTCCCTCACCCTAGAAATCTCTAAGTGGTTCCCAATAATCGAGTAGAGATATCTATGGTATAGTTGTACACCATTAGTCCTTATGACCTAGACATCACCGTGACTTCACTAGAGGACCAGCTGTATCGTGACCTGTCCCTGAGTTCCACCGAGGACCATCCCAAGGGCCAGTGTTCGTGGAGTCCGAAATCTAGTGGGAGGTCTGTGCATTGTAGTCGGGGATTCGATTGCTAGAATAGTCTTGGATGTCCTGTGTGTTCTGAAAGTTTGTAATCATTCTAAGTCTCTGGCCAGAGCTGACTAAGTGATGATTAGAGAATTCGATTCTCTAAGTCATGCACGTGACGATTACAACACTTGGAACGATCGCACCGTCATCGAACATATAAAGAGGTTTCGATGAACCAATGCCTCTAGTTCGATCGGGACATATGAATCGAAGGGACCGTACTGTACGTTAACTATATCTGAAGGTTCTTGCAGGCACTTCATTTGTATCTAGGGAATCATGACGCGTAGTTGCTAGACGCCAATCTTGATTCGTTGGGTGATTAAGGTGAAACGAGCTTCATCTTAATCGTAACTCTAAGGGACGAGTTTTGACCACAAAGAGTTGTGGGCCCACGGCTAGCTTACACCTGAACCATCGAGGGTCACACTGCTCGTGCACATGAGATCTTTGAATAAACGGTTAGAGATAAAGTAAGTTTATCTTTGCATGATTGGAAGTCAATATGATTGGATCCAATATTCATAATTTGGAATTATGAATGAGAATAAGAAAAGGAAAAGAATAGGCGAACATGTTAGTGAACTTTCTAAATCGGGAAGTTTCCAAATTTAGAAAGTGCACTGAGCTAGGGTTTCCACTTTTGGAAAGTTGGAAAATGAGAGATGGCACTCGTAATGACGAGGATATTATAATGATTCCGAAAATGTAATTGTTGCAATTTTCCGATCATTGAATTGAGAGAGACGAGCAAGTAAAGGAACTAACGAGCTTAAGCTGTTGGGCCCGGTCCAACTTAAGCCCGTTAGGGTTTTATGCAAGGGACTATAAATACTTGATTTATAGGCCTTGCACAAACACACAAGGCCTAATCAAAACCCTAGCCGCTCACCTCTCTCTCTCGGCCTCTCTCCCGCGGCCATCACCGGCGCCGTCGCCGGATTCTCGCCGGAATCGGCCGTTCATCGGCCGACTGCCTTGGTAGTCTCTTTCCTTCTCTTTTTCTTCCGTTTTTCTAACTATTACGTGTCTAGTGCCACGTGTTTAGTAGATCAAAGTATACGAGGTGAAATCCGAGAGGAGGAAGATCGAAGATCGAAGATTCGAGGAGCAGCACACGAGCCGAAGCCGCACGCAACCCCACGCGCCGCCCGAAGACCGCGCGTGAGTTACACGCGCCGCCACGGCCCGTCTCGCCGCTGCTGCCGCTGCACCGCTGCTGCCCCGATTGTACGGATTGGTTTCCGTAGCAATCTCGACTTGCTTAGCGCTCCTACCTCACGCTTCAAGAGGTAAACACACGAATCCCTTGTTTCGATTCGTTTACGTTTAAACCAAATATTCATGTTTGCTTTCGTATGATTTTATGTGATTATGTGTAATCGTTTTAATCGTTGCAAGCATGTTAGTTGGTTTAAACGCGAGCATGTTAATTGGTTTAAATTCAGTTAAACATTTTAGCATGTATGTTGTTTTTAATTTCGCTGGAAGCGCAAAGGTACGCAATTAATTGATTTTAATTTGTCGGGCGTGTGCTTATGTGCTTTAAAGTCGTTTAAATCGCATTAATTTTTTTTTTTTCGCTGCGTACACGTGCCCGAAACCCAACACACCATTACCCAAAAAACGAAATAATCCAAACAAAAGAACACTTACGCTGGTTAAAGATGTTCGAAGATGATGAACTGTGAATATACAACCAAGCAAATCTCCTATAGCTGGATCTGGTAATAGCTGAATCTGTTAAACCAGGATTTCACAATATGACTGAAATGGAAATCTTCGAACAAAAAAAAGTGTAAAAAAATGTACCTGTTGCAATCGCCCAGAGATTAAAAAAAAAAGTCACGCCGTTTTCAAAGCAATGAGAGTAAAGATGCGTTAGGGTTTACCAGATTGGGGAAAAGAACAAAACAAATCTTTTATACCACGTATTTTGTAATTATGTGATGACTGAAAGGTTAATTAGGTATTTCAAATAAAGAATTCATTCGTAAATTGATAGATTACAGAATCGTACCTGGGAGGGCAGGATTGAAAAAGTGGTAAAAAGAGGATACTAGCCCGGGCCGAAGATCAATCCCGCACTTTCATCCGATGAACAAATCGCTGGATCCAGTTGGATAAATCGTTCAGTCCTCCCTTTCCCGTCAAACCAAAAAGGCCCTAATGGGATAATCCATTTGATACGTTATTACGATAGAGTTCTAACGGTCTATTGGTTTCAGAAAGTGGTGGAGACAACAAAGAGTTATGGATGATTTAAGACATATTGGGGGAGCCATGTCACCCCATAACTCCCCCATAAGTCTATGTTATCTCCTCCACTAGCTAAAAGTAATAGTCCATTAGAACCCTATCGAAATAATGCATTCAATGCATTATTCCGTTAGAGTTGCTAACTATGTTTCAGGGGTTGAGTGTAATTATCCATACCATAGGGACCTTAAAATTATTTAAGCATACCTCAAGGGTGTAGGTGTAATTTACCCTAATAAATATGAAAGGGGTGGACTTATTGGCAAAAGAGAAAATAACCGCTAAACATAGAGAAAATTGGTTAGGGACTTGTGCACAAAAACCCATTATAAAATTATGTATACCTATATATATAATTGGCGTTCACAATAAAATTTAACGAATTCTGCTAATAATCATTTAATAATTGGTGTTCATTTAATAGTTTGATGTATTTAATTTCTTATACTTTGATCCGATTAAGAACCCATACCAAAAAGTTAATTAAAAAGTTTTGAATTTTGATTACATAAAATAAAATGAGGGGGGAAAAAGTAAAATACGAGGCCAGGAAATTATATCAACTCAAAATTATCGCACAGTTTAACAGTAACAGAATCTAAAACGGAATTAAATCTCCTGTATCGATCAAAACAAAGAAACCCTAAACTAAACAATTCACTAACAGAATCCGCTCAACGGCTTCTACCAAGAAACTGTAAACTCAACAATTCAACAGCAATCGGGAAATATAAAGCATTTGGAATATGAACAAGTCGAAAAGTAAGAGAATCAAAACAAACTAAAAGATCGACAATTAGCACACACTCCGATTTCGCATCACCCTTGCCGCTCAACGGCTTCTACCGGCGTTCGCTCCGCGACCTCCGCCGCCCTGGCCTCTACGGCCGTAGTTCCCGTGTTCCAACTCGTTGACATTGCGGCCGTTTCCGCCAAGTGCGATTAGGCGCAGGGCTTCTTCCACCCTCCTTTTCTGTTCCTCAGCCTCTTCGAAAATCTTGATTGTGAGTCCATTCCAGAAGTTGAAAAACTCCCAAAGAACAGCAGTTAGCAGGACCATCTCCCATCCACCCACGTTCTTCCTAAAAAAGGCTGTCGCACTCGATTGAACGGGTAAGCAGATGAAAAGCTGCAGAAGGCCGTAATCACAGGTCGGACGCGCGATTTCCATTAAACAAAATACCGATACGGCCATGAATATTTGACCAACTATGGCCCTTTCCGTGAAATCGTGACCGATCGCCAATATTGCGGAGATAAACGTAACGGCGCCGGTGCATATCTGGGCCACCCATAACGGGCCCCTCACGCGCATGATGGGATGTGACCTGAGAGAAAACCCTAGAGAGTAGCTGATTATCATGGACAAAGATCCGATCACCATTATCAAATCCACTTTGTCTTTTGCGGTCTCTTCAGAAAGAAGGTATTTTGGGGCCAGAAAAGCACAAGCACAGCCAACGAGAAACCATATAGCTGAGGCATGAATGCTGATTATGATATCTCTAATAGCCATTAGAGAGAGAGAGAGAGAGAGAGAGAGAGAGAGAGAGAGAGAGAGAGAGAGAGAGAGAGAGAGAGAGAGAGAGAGGAATGATATGATAACGCTTACTGAAGTGTGGAATTTAGAGCATGGGAAGTACGGGCTAGGCCGAGAATATTTATCTAACTTATTTTTAATCTTAATATAAAATTAAAATAAATAATTAAAAATCTACTATTTTATGCATCAACTTCTAATAAATTGACAATCAAAT